TGGCAACAACCTAGATGCCCATCAACAGATGAATGAAGAAACAAACTATAGTACATAGGCACAATAGAGTACTATGAATGATAAAGAACAATGATGAATCTGCAAAGCATCTCACAACAGGGATGAATCTGAAGGGCATTATGCTGAGTGAAATAAGTCAATTACAAAAGGACAAATACTGTATGAGACCACTACTATAAAAACTCATGAAAAAGTTTACACACAAAAAGAAACAATCTTTGATGGTTACGAGGGAGGAGAGGGATGGGGATGGAAAATCACTAAATAGACAATAGATAAGTGTTAACTTTGGTGAAGGGTAAGACAGTATACCGTACTGGAGAAGTCAGCACAACTTGTCTAAGGCAAGGTCATGGAAGCTCCATAGACACTTTCAAACTCCCTGAGGGACCAAATAACTGGGCTGAGGGCTGTGAGGACCATGATCTTGGGGAACATCTAGCTAAATTGGCATAACATAATTTATAAAGAAAATGTTCTACGTTCTACTTTGGTGAGTAGCGTCTGGTGTCCTAAAAGCTTGTTAGCAGCCATCTAAGTACTCCACTGGTCTCATCCCATCAGGAGCAAGGAGAATGATTAAAACCAAAGGCACAAGGGAATGGTTAGTCCAAATGACTGATGGAGCACAAGTACTGCCACCTCCAACAGACTGAGTTCAGCACAGCTAGATGTTACCCAGCTACCACCACTGACTGCTCTGACAGAGATCACAATAGAGGATCCAGGACAGAGCCGGAGAAAAATGTAGAACAAAATTCTAACTCAAAAGAAAAAAAACAAAAAAAAAAGAACAGACTTACTGGTCTGACAGAGACTGGGGAAACCCCTAGTGTATGCCCCCCACCCCCACCCGACACCCTTTTAGCTCAGTAATGAAGTCACTCCTGAGATTCACCCTTCAGCCGAAAATTAGACATACCCATGAAATAAAAACAGCCCAGTGGCAAGGACTAGAAGGCAGGAGGGGACAGGAAAGCTGGTAATAGGGAACCCAAGGTTGAGAAGGGGAGAGTGCTGACATGTCGTAGGGTTGGTAACAAATACCACAAAACAATATGTGTACTAATTGTTTTATGAGAAGCTAGTTTGTTCTGTAAACCTTCATCGAAACTACAATAAAAAAATTGAAGAAGCTTACAGTCTTTTTCATTAAATCAGAGGATAATGGGTTTACTATCGACTACCCTTTTCTACTAGAAAGACAAATTTACAATGCTCCAGAGCAGCTTCTAGTAAAAGAAATAAGTCAAAGCTTTTGAAGTTTGGGTCAGCCTTTTTTACGGTTATTTTTGGATTCCTGAGTAAGAAAAAACCCTTAAAATCAAAGTAAGTCTGTTATTAATTTTTTATAAAACAGAGTACATTCCAAGGGAGCCCTCAAAATGAGACAGTAAATCCATACCTCTGTCCTAGGAAATAAAAGGAAATTTGACTAAGGAAACTTACAGGCAATTGATACTTGGTTCATTGTCTATGATCCTGAAACTCAGGAACTAACGTAGCAACATAAGAGAATAGGAAGAATTTTTTTTTTTTAATGGAACTCAAGATAGAAATTCCCCAAGGTTACTTCTTCATATTGCTGGTGTGGAAAAGTATCCTGTTTATTCTTACAACAATTCTTCTCATTTCCTAGGGGACACTCTCTCCCAGGACTTTTACACCTAGAGATCTGTGGCTAATAAAACAGCAGGCAGAATTTCAGGAAGAGAAAAAGAGGATTTTGAAGATGAAGAGCTTATGCTGCAATCCAGCATGAATTCTCACTTCGAATATTTTTCTATCTGTAATCACTTGACTGTACACCTGAAAAGAGAAAAATTTTCTTACCTACAAATCTGAAAACTCTATCAGGTAAGAGAATGAAATAGGAGACAGGCTGCTAAATTGTCAATATTTCCTATATTTTAGTGACAGATCTGTGCTTGCTAGTATTAAAGATAAATGCCTAGCATTTGAAAACAGATGTCCTATTTCATAAATGAATTGTGGTTGTGGATTATGAAGGCACTTTAATGCCCGCATTTTTGTTACTATTCTCATTCTCAGTTCAACATGCCTGGTTCTCTAGACATCCTCCAAAGCCAGTCAGTCATCTATAAATGTTAAAATTTCAGTGAAAGAAATCATTTCGAACACAGGAGTCTGATTTCTATTTTTTTTTTCCCAAAGATAGGAAGAGTTTTATTTCCCCAAACACATTTTTATGCAATACTGTTTTGTGGGTCAGAAAATCAAAAATGATATTTGGTATATCATCTGTATTTTAAACAACAATGGTCAGATTTTTAAAATACACAAAATATACATGGCCATCAAAAACAGTTACACTGAATGGTTTGAAGGAAGCCCGTCATGAAGGTGCTGTAGAGATTAGAAAATTTCTCAAAATTGCTTCCACATATTAAAAACCTAGAACCACATGGTTTCCCTTAAAGTATTCCCTAATTCATTCATGTTTTCACTCTTACTCATCTCAAATCATTTTTACCTACTGTCAGTGGTTTCTCCAACCTTGAATGATTCCCCTTTTATAGGAAACTACTCAATCCCCATCTTTATTACAGTTCTTAAACTTCTCTCAATGCCTCCTATTCCTATAAATTTCCATCACATCCTTGCTTCTTCCCTCTCAGTAAAGGAAAGTTTATCCATGCCATCTAAAAATGAAAGGAACAAAGAGGAAGTTATTTCACAAAAGTATGTCTGCTGTTGTCAGTGTACCTAAAGAAGATAGGTTAAGTGCTGGACTACTAACCAAAAGGTTGGTGGTTTAAACCCACCCAGAGGCAACTTGGAATTAAAGCCTAGTGATCTACTTCCAAACAGAGGCATAGTAAGGGTAACAAGCACCCAGGGGCAATCTCTAAGTTGCACCCTTCCCAATTTCAAGCTGCACAGACGTTGTTAGCTGTGACATGGTAGCAGAATGACTTCCCCCCTTTTGTCCAGCTGCCTCAGTCAAGCACCTTTCATATTTGTGGCACCTCAGATGTCATTCCACGCATCGTCTGGCACCCTCTTGGACATGCACCTGGGGGCAAGTGCACCCCTCAGACTCCCCTCACTTGCTAGGCCTCTGCTTCCAAAAGGTCACAGTTTTGAAAACCCTATGGAGCAGATCCACTCTGCATATACAAGGAAGCCATTAGTTGGAATCAACTAATGGCAACTAACAACAACAACTTTTCAAATAATGGAAGAAAAAAAGATTCAAAAGATTGGCTGCCTCTCAGTAAACAGTCTGAATTTAGTCAAATATTAAACCTTCTTATAATTAACTTATTTACAATTTTATCAAGTGTTTTAACATTCACTGAAGAAAAAACTATTATTTCAATTCTGCAAATGAAATGAAAATTAATATTCTTTCTTTATTAGAAAACAGAAATTTTAGTTGATGGAAATGGCAAAAAAAAAAAACATGTTTTTTGAATGAGAAGAACTGGAAATTTGTGGGGGCTTTGGAGAGAGCTGATATGCAGAGATAGCCTTTTGGGGTGAGGGAAGGCAATGTGACTGCCAGTGTCAGATTAACGGAGCTAGACGTGAACATGATGAATTTCACTTGAGGCTAGATGTTCCTTAATAGCTAAAGAGTGATGTCATTGCAGGCAAGATAAAGATAGGACTTGAGGAAACAGATCACAAGAGAAGACAGGACTTCAAGGAGACTGAAGCCATAGATACTTCAAGGAGAGTTCCCCATGGGGTGATCTAAGGGAGGAACTGATGAGCCCACTGGAGGAAGAACTTTACTTACCCAGGGGTTCAGGGATATGATAAAGAAAAAAGAGTCCCAGAGCAACTAGAAAATGGAAAATTTATCACCAAAGACGTAACTTAAGAATTCTACTTTGAGAAAATATTAAGGCTCACATTATAGGAATAAACTAAGCTTATCAGCACATGTATCAATGATAACATTTCAAATAAACCTCAGGCTAAGAATATCTGATTAATGTGGACTCTTTTCCTATACTCGATAAGGCTTCATTACCCTCCTATGGATGTGGCTCAGAAAGGGATCAGTGAGGAGATACCTCTAGGCCAATTTATATTCTAAGATGAGGGAAAGCTATTACTACTATTTTAAGGGGCTTTTGTTTATTTCTTTAAAGACTTTGTGGTCTTTAAAGAGCTTAGTGACTTCTTCCCTATTTATTTTCATTAGGCTAAAATCTTCCACGTGGCTTCATAGCAAGTTTAGAGATAGCAGTGTGGTGGACTACTTCAAATTTGTACTCTATTAGAGCTGACTTAGGAAGATGAAAGGAAAGTTGTATCACAATATAGATGTTCACAGGCAGAGAAAACGGGAGGCTGATAATATGCTCTAGATCTCTGAGAGAAAATAAAACACTAATGATAAATCAAATAAAGAAAAAATAACATTGACTAAGTCAGACAAAGAACAGACATGTAGCATTAATATTTTACAGATTGATGACTGACATTCTATAAAACCTCTGAGTTTGGGATCATGTAAAAACAACTATAAAAACAAAACCAGTTGCTATCAAGTAGATTTTGATTCATGGCAACTCCATGTATTACACAGGAGAGCCGTGCTCCATAGGATTTTCTTTGCTGTAATCTTTACAGAAGCAGATCACTAGGCTTTTTACTACAGAGTCACTGAGTAGGCTCAAATAGCCAACTTTTCTGTTAATAGTGGAGCGCAAACCATTTGCATCACCTAAGATCCTTCAAAAAAACTACGTTCTCACTCAAGACATTTTGTCTTGACGAGAAAATCCTGGTCTGGGAGGATTCTGACTCTCGTTAGAGATAGTGCTCCATATATTATTTTGTCTTCTCTTTTAAGTGATGCTGAATCAAACCTCAGTCACTGAATTTCTCCTCCTGG